TTAGCCTCTAATCAATCACTCAGGTGCAGGGGATGGACGAATTACGCCTCGAATAGCACAGATGGGGGGATGCAGGGGTCGAGTGAAATACATGTTCGAGGGAGATAGCAGACGGATTCTACGGGGCAAGAGAGAGACTTTGATAGAACCCAGGGAAGGACTACGTAACAATATGACAGACTCTGGTCAATATTCCCAGCACAAGGGTGAAGGGGGTGATAACGACAGCGTAGAGTGTGAAGGGTTTTTATGAATGCCGATCAAAGGAGCACACCATACTACATTAAAAATAAGCAAGGTAAAAATTGTGACAGGGAAGGCATGATAGGAGGATAAAGGAAATGTGAATAGCCCAGGAAAGAAGGGGAGATACCACAACTGTCTAGCACACGTTTGGTCAAGGGATGGGCTTCACTTGTCTCTTTGACGAGTTGTTATATGGTGCTAGAAATAGCGAGACTCACTGACGATGTCGACTACTATGCCGGCGAATCGTCTGGGAATGTACCACGCCCACGGTCCGACTTTGGAAATGATCATGCATACAATGGACTCTGGACTAGGTGCATTTCTTTAAGTCTTCCTACTAATATGACCAAGTTGCCAAACAAGATCAAACAACTTCTAAATTATCCAATGCCTCATTATGATCGCATAATGAGGATCTCAGCTGGCCACCTTTCTTGGTTTAATGTTTTCTGCGATTTTTCGTGAATAATGGCTTTTGGCACTGACAATGTCCATTACATGGCGGACGAAAGCTCAGCACGGAGTCATTGAGGCCGAAGTCTTCTTCGCACAATTCGACAGACAAAATTCCAAGGCAACCCTCCTTCGATATCCGATGAGGCCAATCTACCAATCCCTTTCACCCGCCTTGTCAAACGAAATTAAAGGTATGCCAATAACAAAAGCTACTCACTCTGGTCTGTGGTGGGGCTGAGGTTTTTGTAGGTGATATTTATGTGAATGCTGCTGCTGTTGCAGATTTGGTTGTTGTACAGAAGGTTGAAACTGGCAGTATTGTGGTGAGCGCTGATGCATTTGGTTTTGCTTAACATTTCGGACCGACAAAGATGAGGACCTGCCAACGGATAATGGTTCAAGCACGCGGACTCCGGTAGAGCTAGGCGCGATACAACAGCCCATCACAATGTAGTTGTGCCAAAGTGGAATCATTTGGTCACGTTCAGTATTTGGCTTTTTATTTGTTGTCCGTAAGAGAGATGAAGCTCGATTTTCGGCCAATTGGGCACTAAATAAAGCAAAAAAAAGTAAATTAAAAACAGTTGATAAATATCGTTCTGTAAGACTCAAACTGATTATTATTAAACATAAATAAACTGATTGAGACAAATTTATAGGGTATTTTTTCTTAACGACAGCCCTGAGTACATGACTAAGAAGAGAAAATTAAGTCAAACTAATTCAATACAGTGAAAGGAGACTGCGAACAAAACAGAAGCTGCAACATCCTGGTCGCCATATCTACGATATCTAATATTTAATTCAGAGATGACCAATACGCAGCGAATGATGCTATATCTTAAACGAGAGGAGCAATAATTGTAGAACGCATAAATGTGTTATAAGATATGAATACTAGAAAAGCTATTCAATGAGCTATATTCTGCCACTATGCATTAAAAGTACTTCTCGAAGATTAGTAAAATCCCATTATTAAGGAATAAAAAAGATAAAGAATGTAAAAACAAAATATACTGTACCTTAAGCGATATAGCAAGTAAAATAAAAGAATAGAAGTTATTTGGCTTAGTTTTCGAAATTTGGTCGTATGGTCATGGCAGCCTAGAGGAACGTATCTTGTCTGGAGTACATAACATACAGAGACTTGGTACATTCCCATGTGTTAAGCTGGCGCCACAATACAACTCGTCAAAGAGGCGAGTGAAGTCGATCCTTCAACCAATTATCTGCCAAACAATTCTGGTATCTCTCCTTCTTTTCTGGGTTAATCACTTATCCTATATCTTCGTATCAACCCTTCACTATCACAATTTATTACTTGCTTACTTAAACGTGGTTCTAATGTGCCCTTTTGAGCGAATTTAGTGGGACCTATTCCCAAGAGGACAGGAGAGATACCACGATTCTTCAAAAGAGTTAGTAAAGAATCGACTTTCCTTATCTACTTGACGAGTTGTAATGTAGTGCTAAGAATAGCAAGGCTCACTGACGATGCCGGCGAAATGTCGGTCAATGAATGTACCAAATCCACGGTTCAACTCTGGAAAGTATAGTAGATACTCTGTACTCTGGACAAGATGCGTTCCTCTAGGTTTCCCTTACAATACGATTTAGTTGCGAAAATAAGGCCAAACAACTTCTATACAATGAAAGGAAGACCCTCCCATCTTGGTCTTCCTACCCTCGGATTATAAAACAATGATGGTAAGTATCCTCATCAGTGAATCTTCAACACCTTTCCTTGCGGTTTAGCCCTACAAAAATACTTTGTTTATTTAAGGAATTTTAATAAAAAAAGAGAATGGATACACACACAAGTATTTATATCCATGTAGAAATAGACCGTAATTTAAGGTTATAAATATACACGTAAATATAAATAGATTTTTGTAGTTAGTTTTAGCGGTGATTATAAGATGTACTATTTTTTTGTACAGCAGGCATAAGTGTTAAGCCCCCTACAATAGATTGAATAGCAGGCTTGACTTTGTCATTTAAAATGTACTTCAACGATTTGAATTCTGCTATTGGCTTTGTTTTAAGGTAGTCGATCTTGGAATTTCAATCCATTTATGAAGAAGTCTTTTTATAAGCACGGTAGAAATGAATTCATCATCACTTCACATA